CATTTCTTGCAATTCCCAGCATAATTTCTGGTGAGAAAGTAACTCAATTTAATAAGAAAACAACATGACTTATACATTAAAAACAGAAGCATATATTACATATTATTAGAAGTATTATACGTCTCAGCAAGGATTAAGCACCCGGGCATCACTGTAGGTGAGGCTTTTCATTACTAGATACGCTGATCACTCTTTAACCGAGGTTAACTTATAATTATCGAATCTGGCAATACACATTGCATGGTGTGAAAAAAGACATAAAACATAATAATTATATAAAACGTCTATTAAACTATTTTCACTTTATTAATAATTTTTATAATGCATATGTAAATTGATATCAATCGATAATTTAGATAATCTGATGATTTTGGTTGAATTGAAATTCTATTAAAATGTTAAAATCAAAATATATGCCCTTTATTTATGCAGAAGTGTATGTCATCATACATTTGTTAATACCTTTCAAATTCTATGGAAGTCTCGGTAAAAGCTAGCCATTTACAAAATTACAAAGTATATGATGCATTTACAGTGAACCTATAAAAAGATATAATACATTTTCAATTATAGAGGTATTATATTTTGATCGATAGATTGACTTTTAATACAGATATTGTAAACAAAAAAAATCAAACTGAAAGGGTTACATGGATAGGTCATGTTACGTCAGAATTACTGACTAAACCACGTACCTGCAAACTACTGGAAAAGAACTGCATGTAACACAGTGAGTTCCCTTATGTACAACAATTATGAGTTATGCTAAGTGCACAAACACTTGCGAAGTCAACCTGTAGGGTAAATTCTCAAACTGCATGGTTACATCTGAGATTCCTATAACCACTGATATAGTAATCTCAGGTTACATTGAACATGTGGAAGGTGATATGCGGTACTATTGAATCTGGGTGCCGAACATGTCAGACACTCTACCACCAATACAATAGACAATAACATTATTGAAGCTTGAGGGCTGCAACTAAATAAAACTTGAACAGTTCTGTGCTTTTTATATAGTCCGGCAGCCAATCTCTTTTGCATAGTCTTTAACGAATAGAATATTCAAATATTAAGAAGATGTGTATGCCAATGAGACAAATCTCTAGCAGAGACCAAACGACGTAATGACATAAAAGTTAACAGCTATAGGTCACCATACGCCGTCAACAATGAGCAAATCTAATACCGCATAGTAAGCTTTAAAGTGCCCAGAAATGACAAATGTAAAACAATTCAAACTAGACAAACTCACAGCCTGATTTATGTACAAAACTATAAACGAAAAACAAACATTATGTACAACAACAAACAACCACTGAATAACGGGCTCCTGATTTGGGACATGCACATACGGAACGTGGCGGGGTTAAACATGTTAGCTGGAAAGGAAAAACTATTAAAGTCAGTTAAAAAGAGCTTAACTTATCGATACATAGCATAAAGTAAAATTAAAGTATTTTTTTTTTACCTTGAAAACACTTGACAAGCAGGTACATTTAGTAGGTAAGATACCAGGCAAGCGGATGAGAAAGTCAAGTTATCATGTACTAATTCAGATTGTTTAACACCAGAAAATGTCATGAAGAATTCAAGTAGTAATTCCACTTTGTTGATTTCTGCCAAGTACTCGAAAGTCAACAAAAAGTCTATACAATGTCACGAATAGCTGATATCAGTAAATATCTTTTAAAAACGTACAGAAAAAAGTTAAATTACCTGACGTCGTACTGCAAAAAAAAAAAAATCCCAAACAAACATGTCAGGGCCTTTTATAGCCGACTATACTGTATGGTTGTTTCTCATTGTTAAAGGACTATTTTTGTTAACATCCACTTCATTTGAACTTTGATGTATAATTGTCTCATTGGCAATCATACCACATCTCCTTATTTTTATAAACATCTGAGAAACGTCCCACTCTAAAACAGTATAGAAATTGGCATAAGTGTTTCTACTTCAATTTAAGGAATGACTGTAATATTTTTTCTGTCTATGAAGAAATAACATCAAAAATGCGGTGCACACTGAATAACCCGCGTAGCACCACATTTGTTTAGGTTATTTCGAATAGACAGAAAAAAATATTACAGTCATTCCTTATAATTTAATTCTAAAAAGGCGTGAATCATGATAAAAAAAGTTGTTGACGTCACGGTCACATGACAAAATTATGTCTATGAGCTGATAGACAAAACACTTTCGGCCAATCAGAAGACGTGTTACATCCAAAATTAGATTATATATACATAAGAGCAGAAAAACCCTAACAGTGGTCATGAAAGTATCTTATTTTCTTGCTTCAGACCCTTAAGCTCTGATCGAAGATTGTATAATTCATTATACATCATATATCCTTCTGATGCATGCCCATTGAGAATTGGGTTTGCAAGTGGCTGCAGTGAATGTAGCAGGTGATAACATAAAACCATTCATTTAAATTTATGTGACAAGGGAAACGTTGCTAGACTTGATATATTTTTTCTGTGTTCACTACATCGCGGTACAACACTTTTTACTAATAGATCTGGTGATGTGAAGTTAATTTCTCTTTTGACTTCTCATTGTTTCATTTTTTTTAATTTTTTTACTCTTGTGATGCTAAGCCATGCATGGAGAAAACAAAAGTTGTGTCGATTCTGCTCAAGACCTGTAGGTACATTATGAAGATATGTAGATGTAAATGACACATTCCATGTAGAATGATTTTATAATTTAAGATAAAATAAATCTATGTCCATAGTTATTTTCAATTTTTCGTTTAAATGTCGCTTCTTTTGGCAGTAAGTTTGTAACTAATAAAATTATTAAAATATATGAAAAAGAAAAGTTGTTCTGTGATTGAGTTCAATTTTTAAAATCTTTTATAAAAAGGTACGATTTAAAAATATAAACGTTTTTGTTTTTTTGTTTTTTGTTAATTAGCTGCGTTTAAAAAATTACCCCCATTAATTTGCACATGTACATAGATCCTAGACTCGATTAAGGAAAATCAAACAAGATCACCTTAATTTTTTTGCCATTTATTCTGCGCCTCTTGTCCATTATTCTTGATTCCTTTTCGAAAACACATTAAATGAAATAATAAGAACGATTTTAAGTTAATTTTCCTGAAGATTATACACAAAAAAGTGAGATCACTGGTTTTAAAAAAAGCCTATATGTTCGGATAACAGAACATACAAAGTCGACTTCTTCTTATGGTATCCAGTTATCCGTCAGATTTTTTATGATTACTAACTGCTTATTACGGATCTTTGCCTGATTGATCAGCGGTGAGTTTCCCCAGAGAACTCAAGGAATATTTTAACTTCAGAATCTGTTGGAAAAGAAACGGAAATACGGAAACGTTTCCGATGTTGGTCCTATTGTTAGGGAATTTAAAAGTTGTGACGTCATTTGCAATGTAAACAAAGAAAGTACGCTATCATCAGGTAACGTTTTTTATCACATCAAAATCTGAATTAAAAAATTGTACATTTAAATGGTAAAAAGGACAGAAAACGCTGTTATTTTAATGTTAAGAAGACGTGTTGCTATGAAGCATCGACTAGTTTCGAGTTTCGAGTTGTTAAGGAGCGGATCTGTATCATGACCGACAAGTGTTAAAATGATCATCAATCAGGGCGATGACCTATTGACAACTGTTATAATAACTTCATACATTTTTGAATCTTTATGTCTTTTCTTTAAATATCAAACGAAAAACAAAATAAAATTAAAGAAAAGTCTACCATAAATTTAAAAAGGACATTAAAAGGATACAAATCTAATTGTTATTGTGTGGTTGTCCATATTCTTTTTGGTATTCATAATTTTTATATATAAATTTTCGGGAAATCGTGTGACTTACATGGCATCTTCCGTCAGCAGAACTGGAACTAGACTGGTACCCGACCGTTATTGAAATTCTTGTATATTCCGAAGGCATACTGGATATTTTACGGAGGGAACCACCCTAAACTGGAACAGGGAAAATGCAACTGTTGGAAGTTAGAAAAACGTTTACGATTGTGATTTTATTAGTGTATTGATTTTTTATGTTGATTTTTGGTAGTTTTATTGATTTGCTTACTGTTATAAGGTACGTCCCCATAACATTTTACTAAAATCCCAAGCCTAAACGATACTGGAAAAGATTTTTGCGCAGATGCGAGAAAATAAAAAAGTCTGAAAAAAAAAAGTTAAAAAAAAAGTTAACGATTTTGAGTTCATTAGTACAATGAAAATTTCCCGAAATTTTCCCGAGTTTTTTTTTTTTTATTGATTTTCTACTGTAATAGGGGACTTCGTCCCCTTATTAATAAAGATAAATAAAAGAATACTATAACACGTTATTAAGATGATAAACAACGTCAGTACGCAAAATCTATAATTCAAGACCATCGTGTATTATTTGTGAAGTTGATACGGAATATTTAATAAACAAGTTTTTGGTACCTTCCGATGAACTTTTTTAAAAAAAGGACGAGACGTTCTTTGACATACCCCTGGTTCATCAACTTTCTGCTCAGACACTGGTGACGTTTTACAAAGTCTGAGTAGGAGCTGCAAGCCAGTTAGAGCGGCGGGGTGTAATTAACGCACCGCCCGAAACAGAGATGCATCACAAAATTTTCTTTGATGTCGGCCGCGTTTCCATTCCTTGCAAGGTACGCACATACCAAATATAGTTATCCTACTACTTATAATAAGAGAGAATTTAACATTACAAAAAATGTTAACTTTTTTTTCAAGTAGTCACTGAACCATGAAAATGAGGTCAAGGACATTGGACATGTGACTGACGGAAACTTCGTAACATGAGGCATCCATATACAAAGTATGAAGCGTCCAGGTCTTCCACCTTCTAAAATATAAAGCTTTTAAGAAGATCACTATCCCTATGTCGAGCTTTCTGCGACAAAAGTCGCAGGCTCGACAAAAAACCAACATACCCCCCCCCCCCCCCTTTTTTTTTAAAGTTAAATGGTTGCTCCTTTATGAAAGCCATTTTGATGATTTGCAGTAGTTTAAAGATACTAAAGATGTCTCGATTATGCATTAGAAAAAGTAGGCTGCAGCAGTGTGCATACAGACAAAGAAAAAACAGAGATGTAAGGATCACTACATTTATATCTTTTCTGTTTGTTTCAAATGGTATTTCTTCTCCAGGGAGTATTTGACAAAGGGAGGGGGTAATGTTTTTTTTTATTTTTAAGTGTAATTTAACGCATCAGAGATATTAGACAAACAATACATTTACCTCACACTTTTGGTAATTCATTTATGAGTGAATCGTTGTTTGAGTAAAGACCAGTGGCAAATATTTCTGTGTACGTCGAGTCGGTTTCGGAAAGACCTTTTCAAATGAATTATGTGTTCGGCAATGATACTGCTTTGAGTCTTGATAAGGGTACCGGTTAATAAAGCTACGCAAAGTTTTTTTTATAACAAATGAATATATCAAGTTTAGACAAATATTTCTGTAAAGAACTTTATAAATAATTGTTATAAATATCAATTTTATTCAAAAATCGTTTCTTCCTTAAATATACATGGTAAAATTAATGTTCTAAATGCCTAGTTTTGTGTACACTTAACCTACACAAGGCCTACATTGACTATCGACTGCGTGTAGACAAAACATGATTTAAACTACATGTACACATTGAGTTTTATCAATGGGAACGTAATTGTGTTTAGTTTACGTGTGAGTTACACTAACACAACACTGAGTTTAGGTCAATGTGAACATGGCCTAAGTCCTTAAATTTGACAGCAAAATACAAAACAACCTGGCATTCTGAAAGATAAATTTATAATAAGGATAGCTTTAAGTTTGATGAAAATCACACTATAATTTGTTTCTATTTTTAGCAACAGCATCAATGTTTGTTGGTTGGCCTACATAATTGACAAAAATTTGATAATAGATACATTAATTATGATCCTGGCTAAGATTAAACACAATCCAATCAGCAGTTTCAGGGAAGATTTTTTTAAAGATTGACATTTACAATAGGTCTCTACATGGAAATGAAGATTTATACTGTATTATTTATCAAACTTACCAGAACTATAAATCTGTAGACTTGAATTAATGTCAGCAGCATCAGGATTCATTTCATCAACTGAAAGAGAGAATTCATATTATAATCATTACTATGATTTTAAAAATAATCTATAAATAATGAGCATCCCATTAATCAGTTAGTTTCAGCATTAAATGTAGGTCACTGTGATGCAATTGTTGATGTATTGTGTAGTTCTTTACAATAATGTAGTTTTGATATATCCATGATCAAAAGGATGATACATTACTATAGGAGTGTTTTGATAAATGAATATGAACTGAATACTTGACAAAAGTCAGTGAAGTGTGAAATGTAGGTCATTGTGACTCAAGTTATGCTGAACAGTGTTGTACTATACAAGATGACTGTAGTGAGTACATATCATTGATATATTACCATATATATATATTACATACTAACATGACTGACTGATGGAAAAGGGTAAATCTAAAGTTCATTTGTATTGTTGTCATGTCAGTCAATGTTTCACGATAAAAGTTCATAAAACTTGAAATTAAATTGAACATCCAACATGACCAACTTAATAAGATCATATTCATCATTTAAGAATTGAACGCTTCTTTTTGTAAATTCATTGGGGTGTAAAAGCGTTGACCGAAGTACATTTTGTATGAAGCGCTTTATTATTTAAATGTGTACATGGTCAAAGCTTTTACAACCCTATGAAAATACCAAAAGAAGCATTCAATACTTGTAATTACATTTTTTTGCTATGATCATGAAAACACAATTACCATGATTACTATCAAGTTTTTTTCTTTTATTTACCTGGGCACTTTATTGTAGAAGCACCTGTCAACATGAATGTTACAAATTCATTTTGAAATGAAGTTGATTAAGGAATAACGTGAGATTGCAGTTAACCAATCAGAATAACATATTATAATGACACATACATCTAATGTAACTATAAGCAAATGTATGTATAAACCAATTTTTGTGTTTACCGTAATCTTCTGATGGATATGTGGCTGGTGAAAAACATGGACTGCAAGGTACCATCTGTTCACTTCTATTAATATTCTGTTCATGAAAATTCATTGCAACTTTATGGAACTCCACTTAAATAAAAATAGAGATAGAAGTTAAAATTGTATACTGTACTTGAACTTAATGTCGAGAATTTCGCAATCGGTAGATATTTGCTAAAATTACTCCATTCTAAAATGCAAATAATTCAATATGCATACATGCATATATATGGTTAATCTGATTAATAAAAAAAGAACTTAAATAAACTCTTCAAACCACATACTTATGTTGTTCTTGGTTCATATCTGTCATATTTTTTTTTGTAAATGTTTTGTTATAAAAAAGGCCATTAGTTTTCTCAGTTGAATTGTTTCCTATTTTTCAAGTCTTGGACTTTTAGAGCTAACCAAATGGTACTGTATTAGATTGTATCATTGTTGAAGGCTGTATGGTTGCATCCACTTCATGTGAATTTTGGTAGTCTTATTGGCAATCATACCACATCTCCTTTTTTTATACCTAAAGAAGTACATACAGTGTGTATTTAATAGTGTAAATATTTGCACCTATATTAACATTATAATTAGTACAGTTATATTACTGTTGCATAATAGCATACATGTTAAGCCTACCAGGTCTTAGTTTTTTGCAAACCTCACACCTCCTGAATTTGCCAGGATTTATACATGTACTTCACTTTTTTTGGACAAATGGCAATGTTTTTATCAGGGAATATTGATATGGGGGAGTGAAACCAGCTTAGATATTTCGATGTTTTGTTCTGTTCTGGTATATACCTCCGTTAACTGTAGTTCTCTGATTTACATTTGATTAAAAGTAAATTATCAAGGCCGGAAATATTGAGCAACCTTTACAGTATTCTGTAAATTTATACAAGCAAATTAATATCCATTTACAAGAAATTATCATGATGATTATGTATATAGGTACATGGGTACATGTAGTATGGCCTAAAGAATCAAAGTCACATGATATTCTTATAAATCTTCCCTTATTTGCTGTCTAAAAGATGAAAACAGGTAGTAAATGTATATATTATAAACCTACCAATATCATTTTGTACATCTACAACTGTAAGGTATGTTTTCTTGTGTCTTTCTACACAACTTCTGCATAAACCTGTCATAAATGTAAATATAGAAGGTGGATAAAAAAATGTTATGGTAAGTACATATGGTCTGAATCATGAATATGATGATTAATCTTAAACATTTCTTGTAATTAAATGACCTGTGGAACAAACATTATTTCTAGTTTATCCTGCATAATGATGATCACTTGATCGCTTGATGAATTTGAGTGTAGGAATACAGGTGAATCCCTCTATCTGGTAAATGAATGACGTCCTAAAGGTGCATATAACTGACAATTTTTTTCCGGTGGGGAACATACATGTACATGTAACATACATAACATAACAACCCATCACATACTGTATGTACATGTATGTACATAAATTAGGCCATTAGTTTTCTCGTTTGAATTGTTTTACATTTGTCATTTGGGGGCCTTTTATAGCTGACTTGGCGGTATGGGCTTTGCTCATTGTTGAAGGCCGTACAGTGACTTATAGTTGTTAATTTCTGTGTCATTTCAACTCATTTGGTCCTTAGTGTAGAGTTGTCTCATTGGCAATCATACCACATCTTCTTTTTTATATTACTCGAAAGTAGTCTATTATAATTTAACTCAATTTATTTTTTAACAATCTGTTTTTACTATACATTTAGAATCAGTGGCAGATCCAGAACTTTTCATAAGGGGGGCCCACTGACTGACCTAAGGGGGGCCCGCTCCAGTCATGCTTCAGTGATTCCCTATATAATCAACCAAATTTTTCCCACAAAAGGAGGGCCCGGGCCCCCCCTGGATCCGCCTATGAGAATGTTGTTGTTAATCTCATAAAATTCTTGTTTTTCATTCTATAATGTGGAAAAAGCTACATACATGTATGTAAATAAAAGGAAAATTGTGCAAGTTTTTTATCTGCTAAGAAAAGAAGAAAAAAGATAAAAGACATAACTGGGAGGTATAAACTGATCCTGCATCATGTGAATGGTACATGTATGGGGAAACCAACAATTTTTTGAATGGCCTCAGAAGATTTAATGTTTTAATTCTGCAGTGGTTCTGTTTGAGCAGTGCAATTACATTGACTCGAGTCTATGTTTTGGTTTTTTTACTTTATGTCACCTTAATGTGCCATTGGCAATGCCACAGTGGGGGATCAAGAACTTTTAAAAATGAAGGGCCCAGGAGGGGGGATGCCTACTGACCAAATAAGGTGATGGGCAGTGACTTCCAAACATTTCAACTAGTTATTTCCAGCAAAAAGGGGGCTCTCTTTGAATGGGATCCCAATGCACATGATGCAAATAATTTTCACGTATAGAAATAGCATGTGCACAGGTTTACAGGATAAAATTTGAATATCATGTGAAAATTTCCAACAAATCTATGGTTTTCATGAATTATTCTTAATTATAAGATGACAGTTATAGTTTATCAATGGCGAAAGTTAGAAAAGCAATCAAGTTCAGATGACCAACAATAATCTGTTTACGCTATTTTACCTACATGTACATGTATGATAATGTTGTCAATTAATTTCATTAGCAATGTAACATGCCCCCTTAGTTTCTAGTGAAATTTTTCATATCACTCGACTCTGATGAGAAAGGAAATTATCAGTCAGTAAGATCAATTTTTTTTTCCTGAAATAGCGATAATGTGTGTTACAGTATAACTTATAATTATATAACCATGTACATGTATTGTCCCAAAATATAATTCAATTGTGCTCAGCTCAAACATGCCAAAACAGGAATAGCCTCACATTTCATCCAATTTTTAAGCTTACATAAACTTTATACTTGGAGACAATGAACGTTATTCCATATCATATGTCTCATTGCAACACGCAATATCTAAATGCAAGCAATTCTTACCATCTCCAACTGCTGTGATGGTTCTGTCATGCACCCATATCTCTTTTGCAATGGCAAGTGTTATTCCCCGATCTGGCTTTTCTTTACTTGTCTTTGGGTGTAAGGGATGTGCACATGTTCGCTTACATCTATACCATTGTGTACTAAGTTTGTCTCTGTGAGAGTCACATATTGTCATTTTCATAGTGGCATTTTCCACCGTAAATAAACCAGCACGATACAGTATTAATAAACCCTCTGGTATTGATACATGCTTGTCTTTTGGACCGGATTTAAAACGAATAAGATGGTCACTGATATCACATCTCAATTTATATATAATTTGACAATCTCCTTCACACTTCACTGCATCAAACGATCTAGAAAAGCTACATTCTTGTTTAGCAACAAGTGTTTCCATGGGGGCTGCCATTTTGATTATGACAGGAAAGGTTTCAAAGGGGAGGTAATCAGTAAAAATACTGGTGAGGAAACTGTTGAAAATTTGGTTATTTTGTTCACCAAAAAAATATATTTACACTGAAAACCCAAGAGAGAAAAATTATCAATAATTCATATAACAACTATATTTTATATTTCATTCAAAATTAGAGAAAAATAAGCGTCCTGTATTGTTTTGTCTTAATTTAAAAAAACCTCACAATGTCAAAGGTCATGTGACTTACTCTATTTGACCTGCTTTCAAGGGAGGGAGGGTTTTACTATGAGAGAGAAATTTTATTTTTTGCATCAATCTGAAGACACTTGATGTAGTTGTATACTTTTTAAATCCAATTTTAAAGCCCAAAAGGTATTTTTGGGGGTTCTAAAAGGACTAAATTCAGCAATCAGAAATGGACCAAATATGATGGTTATACTTGACCACCCACTGAAAAAAATGAGGTCGATATTTAAATTTTTTTTTTTTTTTTTTTTATTTAAACACAAATATATATTAGTTTTTTATATATTTCGAGATAAAATAAAATACCCCAGGAATTGATATTCCTTCAATTTGCCTGGTTTTCTCGTAGAATGACAGTTAAAATATACAATTCCTTGGTTTATTATTTTCTAGCATTTACTTGAATTTTTTTTTAAATCTTTCTTTTTAGCGGTATTATAGAGTTAAATGCTTTTTACACTGGTCTTAAATGTAGATTTTTTTCTGTACCTTTTTTATTTCACTGATAGAGATTAAACGGAACAGGTTACGATATAAAAAACTATTTGAATCACACCGTGTGTCTTTGTGTGATTTTCAAATTCAGAAGCTTTGCCAGTGGTTATTCTTTGTTGCATCTTAATGTCTTTAAAGGAATTTTGTTTTGCCTGCAGATCTTTGACTGTATCTGTTAATTTTATTCACAGCGTTTACAGACTTGTGGCGTTTCAGAGCTCGATACAGCATAGATACAAATAGTTTAGGATAAATTGGTTTATTAAACTTTTTGATGCGAGCGACACTGATGAGTCTTTTGTGGACGAGACGCGCGTCTGGCGTACACAATTTTAATCCTGGTATCTATGATGAGTTTAAAGTCTATTGTTGAAGACGGCATATTGACCTCTAGATATCTTTTTTTTTTTTTGGTAGTTGGGTTGCTGTTTTACTTTCGCGCATAATCGCATTTTATTCATACTATAGATTGAGATTAACTATAGAGTTACCATAGCTGCAATTTATAGACACTGGTACAATCCAAACGGAATAAATGTTATAGGGACTTTATGGTGCGACGGATGCAGTAAACGTGATGAATTTACTTTGATGAATTATTACTGTACTGATTTTAGTGACACTGAAGGTTGGATATCGGGAACCAATAGCGTAAAGTTTAATCTGCCAGCGTCAAGTAACAACCTTTATACTCTTCGGTATGTTTTGCCTTTAAACGAAAACAGATGGGAAACGGGGAAATTCTCTTGAGAGGACCAGCTAAATAATATTCAGGGAAAATTTATACAAAATCGATATTAAACATATAGATATTGAGACATGTTATTTGGCGTCATTGGTTACATCACTTACAAGCCTATTTATTGAAGATTATCGGATTATAACTCGACAAAGTTAAAGATTTTTGGATTACAAAGCACCAGTCTAAGAAATTATTAATCCCCAAACATGACTATAAAAGTATCTATTCGAATGGAATGTTTGATGACATGATTAACAGGTTTATTCGTTAATTATACCCTAATGCCTTTAAAGACAGTTCGTTTACAAAGCAACGGTCTGAGCACTCACAATATATGACCCCAAGATTAGTTATGCAGTTGCATTTGTGATTACGCAATAACCAATTCAAACTTAAAATTTTATTTGGTTAAAAGGGTCTAGAAAGCCAATGCGACATACCCGAGGATGAGAAAAACTGTAATTTCTTTATTCTTTATTTTTTTCCATTTTCCTGTACTTTTGACCTATCATCTCTATTCTATTAACCCCATCTGAACCCTCATTAACAACTCATGTCACTAAAAATGGTCTTGCAATAAAAACGTTGTTTCTTTGCTGTTGTTGTTGTCAAGTGCGCGTGAGTAATTGGTGGTATTCTAAGAAAATGAATAAGTTTTCTATAAAAATGAATAATGATATCGTTGAAAAAAAATGTGTCAATCATTTTTTTAAGGAATAATTTATAATTATGAGTAAAGTCTTAAAAAAAAAATCTGTAATTTATTTTTTTAAAGTTTTTCGGACTGTTGTTGGATACATATAGCTGAAGGCGGTAAAGACTGGATGCTGCAGACTACAGCAAATCTGACCATTAGATATGATACAAGGAAAATAAATACCTCTCCAATCTCTGCGATGCCGCCTGTAGTAGTATTCAATTATGGATGTGACTATACACTCAAAATACCCGGTAAGTAACAATTCAAATATTTGGTGGTGTTTCGGTTGTATTCAAAAAGTCTGTTTGTGACTCGTTGTAGCATGTTTGTCAACAGCCACGATCAAATTAAAATTTCTGAAATAGAGGTATAAATGCATAGACTACACGTGAAAAAGCGCCACAAAAGCGATTTTTTTTCATATTATAAATTGAATCGAATTTTTATAAATTCTGTCCTAAACATTGTGTTCAGAAATGATGTGCTATTGTTCCATTTTAAAGATAAAACAATAGGAAGAGACCAGCTGGGGTGTCTAAACAATTTGATTGCAAAATGTAAAGAAAGTTTGAGTGCTGTATCAAAAAAAATCATGAAAACCAACTTTTGAAGTGTGACGCCGTCAAGATGTATAGATGTATTTTGTTCTTTTGGTCTTTTTCACTTTCTTTGCTGAGTCTAACTGAAATTAACTAAAAAATAAATCCAATGACTCGATATAAATTTTGTATCATACAACGGAAACGTTTCATGCAAAAACATGTGTTCAAAGCAATAACATGTATGCAAAGTAATAACATGTGTCCAAATAAATAACATGTGTTTAAGGCAATAGTAACATGTGACTGTTCAAACTACTTTTTGAGGACAGGGTTTCAAGAAATCGAAATTTAAAGTGAAAAAATGATTCTACTGCGACTTTTACGTTTCATAATTTTGTAGGTAATTATCTCTTTGTAGATAAAATTGCCAAATTTATATATTTTTTCGATATTCACATGAAGTTCTAACAAGGCTTACTACAATATTTCATAACAATTCGAAATAAACCGCAATTACGTACATGAAAATTAAGCCTCTTCTTATACTAGTAATAACATAATATATAAATGATTGCATATTTCGCAGGGAAAGTTTAATATAAACATTGATTTAATGCATGATAACGTTTTGTGTATGTTTTAATAATCGTAAAATCCACTGAATTTTTTTGCTCTAGTTAGATAAGACCAAAATGTATAGCACATTCCTTACTGATCTTTAATAAAATCAAATGTACGAGGGCTAGAGACACTTTTGACATTAAGCCAAGTATCAATTAACCTGCAAATAAAAAAACTCGAACGATGTTTTTAAAAACATGAGATACATGCAGCATGATATTGGTAAATACATTTTGTAGTGTTTGATGATGATGGTGATGTTGTAAAGTGTCGTTGGTCTACAAAAACTCCATATGATGAATGTTATGATGTTTGTGAAACACTGAGTGGTTCTTATTTAGATGAGGTAAGATGTGATCACACTTACAAATGAAATTCATTTTTATGCGAAATAAAGTTGAACACGAAAAAAACCCTTCATTTGCAAATTTGATTAACATTGGTTTTTTAAAAAAACTTTTGTTGATTTTCAGTATTATAGCATCTAGTTGAATATCAAACGAAGATACTAAAATAAAAAAATTGAAGAAATAAGGTCAATAAAAGACAAGAGTGCACACGCTGAAATGTCTGCATTCTTTACTAACCATTGATATGTTGTTAGTCCTAAATATAAAGCTGTACTACAACTATCACATAAACTTAACATGATCCAAGAATATGAGGTCAAGGTCATATAAACCCAACGAGAAATACATGTACACCTTACAATAATTTAATACACTAAATATAGTTGACCTATTGCTTATAGTTTCTAAGAAACAGACTTAACTAAGAAAACTAAACATTGACCAATGAACCATGAAAATGAGGTCAAGGTCAGATGAACCATGCCAGGCAGTCATGTACAGCTTACAATCCTTCCATACAACAAATATAATTGACTTATTGGTTATATATAGTTTAAGAAAAACAGACCAAAACCCAAAAACTTAACTTAAACCGTGAAAATCAGGTCAAGGTCAAATAACACCTTGTGTGCACTCTTGTTATAGAATTTATGGTATTGTTTTCTTTAAGCTTCATCTAAAAGTCTTATGATTTTCACTCATACAGACAAATTTTATTTAATACATATTTCATCTGATATAAAAATAAGAAAAGCAAACGAAGCATATGTTGAAAGCACATATGTGTATGGTTTTGTTTTAGAGTTCCTGTGTTTTGAGCTACAATGCAACAAGATCCATGGGTTGGTATGTTGTTGCTTTACAAATCGAAGACTTCCAAGAGTCTACTGATACAACTCCTTTCAGCAGTGTTTCTTTGCAGTTTATGATCTTCGTTGATGGTTTAATCGCACCATGTGCATCAAGACCAGTTCTACCACAAAATGTAATAACAGATGGTTCGATTCATTATATTTCTGTCAATAAGATTTTTAATGAGTCGATTATTGCTAGGAATGGCGCGGTAACGTTGAGGTAGGAAAGACTTTTAAGCGTTAGGAACTTATTATAAGTTAAGGAACATTTTATTCTAAATATGTGAATCGTGCGTTTGCGTTAAATATTATTATTGTGGAAATTCATTGAAAACGGTGATCTCAAGAAGATGAACAGCGTAAATTATAATTTTACTTTATAAGTTCGCTTAACTCAACAATTGAAAGAATTATACTATCCCTACTGCTACTCCTTCTACCAATACTTATCTTAAATTAAAATAAGACAGCCGAATCATCACTGCTACCACATATTGATAAGGAAGCGTAGATAGATATACTTCATTCTCTAAAAACTAAATACAAGTTTACAGTTCAGTACAATTACAATATAAATACAAATACAATAGTTGAGGGTAAACAGATGCAGTAAGATAAAGTAAAATGAAGTACAACTTTATGATGACATACATGTACAAAATGTTAAATACATGTAAATGGTTAAACTCAATATGAAGAAATCAGTCTGTTGTTTTACAGAACAAATTGACGAATGATAATTTTCCCAGCAACTAATTTATTTAATGCCTTATTAAATTGGCTGTTGGAAGTTGAAAAATATTTAAAAACTAGCTTAACGTTTCTTATTCTCCAAAATTGATAAATTTGATTTAATTTTAAGTGGCTATTGGTCTTAAGATCCCTAAGAGTTCAAGAATTTAAAGATTTTTTACTTTGATATATGTTTTGTTTGGGCATTGGTACATTTTGATGTCTGTCGTCATTTGTCCGTTTTCCTCTTGTGAATTCTTCACAATCCATGACTTAATGTGTATGTTAATGAGCTTGAATTATTCCTACGGTGTTTGCTAATCATAAAAATGACGAGGAACGTGATCATCACATATTATTTTCATTTTAATTTTTTCGTTTCTATCTCATTAATTATACCAATATTTTGATTTGGAAATGTTTGGAACAATATAAATATTCTATATCGGAAGTAATTTGGGATTAGTTTATATACTTAGATATGTGATTCAGACGATTGCATATCGAAATCAACAGTAATTATTATAGTGATCCTGAAAAAAAAATATTCCTACAATTATTTATTGAACACAGGAGAAATTTCTTTCTATCGTTTTATTTGTGCTAACATTGATTTTGCGTTAGAAAAATTATATCATTACTAAATATGTATTGCTATATTTTTTACCTTACACATTGTCAATATATTCTACTTTGTATTAGATGTATATATCAGGCAAAAGTTTGTGTACATTGTTTTCCTTACACTAAAACCCTTATTCTATCTTTTATAAATTTCGGCGAAGAACTGTATATCAATCAAAACAAACGAAAACAGAAAGGTTATGATACTTTTTGATAATAGTATCCCATTTTTTTTATTTTCATTTTTCTTTTATTTTATGTTTTTAGCGTTACAGCAATTAACACTGTTTCCCCCAGAGGAATGATTAAATCAGAATTATTTCCATCTGGAACGTCTGAAAGAGAATGGTTTGTGACAGTGACTTGGAAACCAATGAAAAGCCAGCTAGGCACCCATTTGTTTTGTTACACTGCAGTTGATAATCTAGGGTATGCATATTTTTTTCTAGTGAGCTTTGAATTTAGCCAGTAATGTTAGATATTCCTATATCATAGTGAAATAGAAGTTGTGAAATTAAGTGACTCTACCAAAAAGGACCTAACAGTACATGTATAGCCAAATCCAAACAAGGAATCAGACCTTTGCACGAGAGAGATATATTCCTCAATTTAGAATAATTTCAAAAATCTAATTTAGTATTCCTTTTCCCAAACAAGTTCCATTAAAATTCCTGAATTTGCCATCTTTTTCTCTCTTTAGTTCCTTAATTTTATTCAGTAGCTTACTGTCTTAAAATTAGACTTGAACTCATGGCATTTTATTTAATTTTTGATTTGATATCAATGAAATGATTAAAAAAACCGGATATATACATTTTTAAAGATGTGTTGACAGGAATGATTAATTCTAATGATGTTTTATGTGAATGACGAATGAAGCAGCACCGAAGAAGCATATATCATGATATAAATTAGATACTAATAGTAAAGTCTGATACTTTTGCTGGTTAAATTTCGAATAACATGTATTGTTCTCTTATTTAATATGAATTTATAAAGAGGTTCATTGGGCACATCTTCGAATTTGAATATTTTCTATTCCAGTCAAAACTCCAATCAGACATGCGCTAAACTCGTGGTAGACGATTTCATTGTTCTAAATCAGGATTGCAATGCTTTCAAAACACCGGAAAGTAAGTGTATTTTTGGTCCTGTAAAGATTTGTTCATGGAATGCTTTATATCAAACCTGATTTATTTCCGTCAATTGGTTTGTTTATCCAACATATACCATAATGGAAAAATCTGATTTTATTTGTCACAACAAACATTGATTAATGCTAAATGTACCTATATGTTTAACTTGATGAACATTGAAATATGTGATTCTGTGATTCTGTGATCGTAAGTAATAAATTCCAGGCATAGATGACCGTAGGCTGTCGTTTTTACACCCGTTTGTACACAATGAATCAATTATATTTACGCCTAAAAAGTGTACCAAAACACCAATATTAAAAAAAGGAAACAGTAAATATAACTTGAGTGTCAATAGATATTTCGGATAAACCAAATTTACTTTTATATTTTGGAATTGTATTTTGCTTTTGAAATATGAACTTTTGTTTATAATTTTAAATTTAGGAGTACACAGTAAGTGCATAGAAGCGACAACAGGCGTACCGGAAATATTTTACCTGGAAACCAGTTGCCCCACATATTTTGTTCAGTGCAACGTTTTTGGAACTGGATATATTATGCCCTGTGCACCAGGAACTGAATGGTGCCAACATGTTTTAAGATGTGTACACGTCGGATCTTGTACGACTTAACATATTCTGCAAGGTGGGTATTTTTCTTCATTGTAATTGATTTTTAAAGATTAGAAGTCAATTATGGAGAATGAAATTAATTGTATAAAACTGATATAAATAAAACTAAACCGACTGGAATATTGAACTAATATTTCGACAGTCACTGGAAAATGAGAATATGTTGGATATGGGCATACATTTTTCCTTGACTTACTGACTCCCCAAAGAGTTTGTTGCAAGAGTCTTTTAAAGTGATGAAAGTTAGACATTCTTTCTACACGAGGCATAGGACGAAACTTCCTCATTCCCACCGGAACTGGCAGTGCGTATTTATACATCCCGCATAGCCTAATGGACACCCCTCTCAGATTTGATTTTACAGCCGTCTGAGAGAAGTCAAGGGATGGCCATATCTCTATAGCTTTTGCAACCTCTAGTGTTTCAACAAAATTATAGCTTAAGCTTGAGTATCAAGAACAAGGGAAAAAACAAGTGTTCTTGAAAGCCAGAGACCATCTGCTTCACATTTGACCTAATAATGAGTCAACGTTTTACATGTGTTTGAAAAAGGATCGGTAGTAAAGAAATATTCAGATATTATAGCATAAATATCTAGTTATAAATCAAAATTGTTTAACACCACCATTCTTTATTGATACTCTAGGTCTATCCGACTTCCTACATACCTTTTTGTAAATTTCTATTTTTGTTTGTTTTGTTTTTTATTTATGGGTATTGATTTCTTTATCTAATTCTAAGAAGTTGTTTAATTGTGTGTTTTCATTACATATTAAAATAAGGAGATGTGGTATGATTGCAAATGAGACGACTATTCAACAAAGTTGGAGTAAAGTGGATGTAAGAAATAATAGGCAACCGTACGGCCTTCAACAATGAGAAAAACCAATACCATATAGTCGGATATAAAAGTCCCCGACATGACAAATATGAAACAATTCAACTGAGAAACTAACGGCCGAGTTTATAACAAAACAATTACGAAAAACAAATATGACAGACGTTAACCAACGACACCACTGAACTACAGGCTCCTGACTTAGGACAGGCACATACAGAATGTGGCGGGGGTTAAACATGTTTGTGAACGCTCATCCATCCTCCTAAGCTGGGGCAGTCGTGTAACAGCACAAGGTAAAAACAAACTATAAAAATCAGTTGAAAAAGGCTTAACTCATCAGATCGATAGAAAGAATAACATCAACCAAAAAAACATACAGGATGTGGCAGGGTATATATCCATCCCTTATACCTAACAACAAAAACGACACTAAGTACAGATCTAAGAGTACTCGCAGTTATGTTACAACTAGTTCAAAGTCGAAAAGAACTAATAAAAACATTTTGTATCTAAGACTAAAATATCAGTCAGTACACATCCAATAGTTTTTCTCATCACTTGGCGTCCGTCGTCCGTCGTCCGTCGTCGTCGTCGTCCGTCGTCCGTCGTCGTCATCGTCCGTTAACTTTTACAAAAATCTTCTCTTCTGAAACTACTGGGCCAAATAAAACCAAACTTGGCCTAAATCATCCTTAGGATATCTAATTTAAAACATATATCCGATGACCCCGCCCATTATCCAAGATGGCCTCCATTTGCTAAAAATAGAACATAGGGGTAAAATGCAGTTTTTGGCTTATATCTCTGAAACTAAAGCATTTAGAGCAAATCTGAAATGGGGTAAAAATGTTCATCAGGTCAAGATATATCTGCCCTTAAATTTTCAGACGCATCAGAAAATCCGTTGTTGGGTTGCTGCCCCTGAATTGGTAATTTTCAGGAAATTTTGCAGTTTCTGGTTATTATCTTGAATAATATAATAGATAGAGATAAACTGTAAACAGCAAAATTGTTCAGCAAAGTAAGATCTACAAATAAGTAAACATGATCAAAATTGTCAATTGACCCCATAAAGAGTAATTGCCCTTTAAAATCATTTTTTCACAATTTTTCGTAAAAGTTTGTAATCTTTTACAAAAATCTTTTCCTGAGATACTTGGCCATGTTCATTAAAGATAGAGATAATTGTAAACAGCAATAATGTTCAGTAAAGTAAGATCTACAAACAAGTCACCATCACCAAAACAGAGAATTTTGTCATGAATTCTATTCTTGTCTATAATGTGTGTTCTTTGTTTAATATGCACATAGACCAAGGTGAGCGACACAGGCTCTTTAGAGACTCTTGTTTTGTTATTTTGTCATTCCAAATTTATCTTATTTTGTTATAACGTTGAAAGCATAATAATTGTTTGTCATGCCACGTGTTGGAGTCCCTTAACATCTGTTTTGACGGGATTCGTGTTGTTAACTATTTAGCTTTCTGTAAAGTATTTTGAATATAACCGGCTTTGTGTTTTCTCAAATTGGAGTCAACGAATTGAAATATATTAAACCATGGTTGAAATTCTAGTAATAAGTAAAGCACAAAAAAAAATAGCAAAATACCGAACTCCAAGGTAAATTTGAAAACAGGGACAGTCCATAAAACATGACAAAATAACAAGATAACATGCTCAACTATATCAACCAAGGGAACACATGGAAACAAAACTGCTATATTCCTGACTTGATTTACAGTATATATAAGGTAGTATTCAAGCATATATACAAAAAGTATAAAACATAATAACACTGAAATATTTTAATTCCTTTTCAGATACGAAGAGGACTTCATCAATATATAATTGGATTTCATTAACCTTTGTTTTAATTCCTATGAGCTTTATCATAGACGTTTCTAATGAACATTATTAATCATTATTCGCGTGGGTCATTCTTTTTCTACAAAAATCTTCAACATAACAGATAAAGCGTTTCTCAACTATATATTCAGATTTCATTTAACTACACGCAGAATGTTTTTGTTATTTGATTATATATGCCTGGAACCTTTGCTTATTATTCACAAATGATTCTTTTCATCCTGTTGTATGATTCGAACACAACAATTTCAACACATTTAAACTGCATCTTGTCAATTTGTTTTTCTTTTTATGTCCTACCTAGGGGTATTATGTTTTTACGTCTGTGTGTCCGTTCGTTCGTTCATCCGTCTGTCACGCTTTTTGTCAAGGTAGGTTTTGATGTAGTTGAAGTCCAATCAACTTGAAACTTAGTACACATGTTCCCTATGATATGATCTTTCTCACTGTAATGCCAAATTAGAGTTTTGACACCAATTTCACGGTCCACTAAACATAGAAAATGATAGTGCGAGGGGACATCCGTGTACTATGGACAACTTCTTGTTTAATTTCTATAATTATTTTCATAAATATTTTTTTTTAGTTTTAAGGCTGATACATATTTTTTAATTTACTCACATGGACACAGTTTCATCGTGTAAATAACTATTAAACACGAAAAAGATTTTAGGAATACATGTCAAATATGCAAAAAATGAAAACAACACGTTATATAAATTTCATGCGTCTGAAGCGCTTTTCTGGACTTACCTTCATCAGGAACGCTCGCAGCCAAATATTTGACGGCCAAGGATTAATAAGAACCGAAGCAACCGAAGAGATATATGACAAAAAATATCAATTGACTGATATGAACTGATCGCGAAAATGAAATTTTGCTTAAAGAAAAAATGATGAAATATTAATCGTAAAAAGAAAACAAATGTATATACTGATTAAGGAGCTACAATTTTTGATTTTTATGGGGGAGGGGGGAGGGGGTATGATGAAAAATTTTGTCCTGCATTTTATTTTTTAGTTTTAATCTCTGTCCTGCCTTTTTATTTTTCACTTTATTCGGTCCTACCTTTTTTGTCTTAGTTTATCGTGATTTTTTTTACATAAATTGTCATCCTGCCATCTTTTTTTTTACTTAAAAGTCCTGTCCTGCCTATTTTTTTCAAATTTCATCCTAGCCCCCCAATCCCCCCCTCCCTCATAAAAATCAAATGGTAGCTCCCTTATACTGCGTGATCATGCGACTTCCTGTATCATTAAAAACGTGGTTGCGATATACCACAATTCTTGTGAAAGGCAAAGTCAAGAACAAAATTCAGTTCACCGTAGAAGTTTGTTTTTAATTCCAAACTGGGGAAACTTCACTACTATGTTATCTTAAAGTACCAAAAAAGGACTGACATATATTTTCCTGTTGAACCCATGACTTTGTTTATAGTAGACTATTCATATGTTTTGTATACTCATAATGTTTCTTTTCAGAACAACATACTGTATTTTATTCAAGACTTTCTTTTACATATATATATATATATAGTGCTTTTGAATGATTATATATATACAAATAAAGACTCTTGGATTATACAATTATCAGTATGACTATTTTTTATTTTATTTGTAAAGTTCATGTTATATTCAGGATTAAAAAAAAAAAGA